AAGCAACAAGCCTTATCATTAGTGAGTGTGTGAAGCAAAAATCTTCCACAAGCACTTCAAGATATGAACTATTAATATAACAGTTATTCGAATCCCATTTTTTATTATAAGAAATGACAAAATTTAACATCCCTATATCTACAAGATAAAATGACATTTGTAAGTTTTCACCGATGATATGGTTTATATATAAGTGATATACAATAGTATATCACTGGTATATTATCATAGATCAACATAATTAAATAATCAGACATAAACTTGTGTATTATTAATATTTAGTCATATCTTAATGATATAGTATTGTTGACTAGTAACACAAAAAACACATAATTATTTGCTCAAAATTGATCAAACACAGTCTACAAAAAATTCTAGATTCTTAACTTATCACAGAAAATCAAGTACCTAAACTAATAAAATAAAAAATTATGAACAATGAAAGAATAACTTGTGTTTTTTTAGTAATAATTCAAACAAAGTTTCATAATCAATGACAACAAATCATAAATTATGAACAAATGAATAACTATTATGTGAAGATATTATTGAGAAATATGAAGACGGTGAACAATAGATAATAAATCCTGATTATTGTTCAACTTTTAGAAACTAGAATATGATTATTAGTCTTGCAAGTATTGGATAATATTGTTGAGAAATATTTGATAGTGATCTTCATGGGGCAAAAAAAGGAAAGGAATGATTGTGAAAGGGGGAGAAATAATATGGTTCTGTGTGCAGGGAATCGATCTAGTTAGTTAAAAATTGAAGAATTTAGCTAAATGTTAAAATCATCAGTTACATGAAATATTGCTAGCCCAATTCATGCTGAAGTTATTATTGCATGTTTTATATATTTGTTTTGTGGATAAAAATAAAAAATTACCTCCAATTGATTTCATGAATGGGCCGTATTTTAATATATTTAAAAATCTTATTCATAATTTTTGAAAACTTTATTTTTCACTTGAGCCGCCAATATTCTCATAAATCTACTTCATATTGTAACAAAATAACAATATGTGAATTGTACGATGATCTTTGTGTAAAAATAGTCAATTCTTTGTTTTTATTTTTTTCCCCCAACTCTACCCTCGTTTGTCATTATGACTTGCATAGTTATTTATATAATATTATTTTTTAAAGTCATTTATAGTTAGAAAAAAAAAAGTAAAAGGGAAAAAGCAATTGAAATTAGAGTTAGGGAGGCACGGTGGTTGGACAGTTGACCTGAGTTATGGCTGGCGCCTACATGGGCCGCTTCTTTTTCTGTGTTTATTATTAAGAGTGAATGCACCTCACCACCGTGAATCGGCGGGGACCTTCCCGGAAAATGACGTGTCTTTCATTCAAGCTAATCACAATTACAAAAATCTTTTGTACTAAGTAAAAAAGATGTTTAATGCTTTAAATAAAGTTATGAACTTAAACCATAAGAGAAAAAAAAGCACGTTAAAAAAATTTGCCCAATCTAAACTCGTCAGCATTTGATGGTAAAAAAGGGGGGGGGGGCCTCGTCAACATTCAAGTTTAAGTTAGTAAAATCATAGACTACGAGATACTTATAAAAAAATTATTATTCAAGTTGAATTTAGGTTTTTAATATATTAATTTGTTGTCTACGAACTAAATTTCCAATTTTTAAGCATTCCAATTATATCTTTGTTTTTTTTTAAGATTTATATAATAGGAGTGTATGTTATCAATGGGTTAATTCATATTTAAGTTGCATGCATCATGTTTCGAATAAGGAAAGCTCTAATGCACTAAAATCTTTTTATTTGGAAGACTAATAAACTCAATTAGTTCTGAGTTCCTTCCACTAGAATTATTTACTTTATTTGATTTTATTTGATTGGCTAAAACGATTATAAAAATTAGCAATTTAATGTTACAAAACTTTAATTTACAAACATGAACAAGCTTTAGACTCAAAATGACCCTATGTTCTCCATTCAATGAGGATTACACATGAATCAAAGTTAGGTTACCCATACTTGACTTGTATTAAATCAAATTTTCTTTTTCAAATTTAGCTAAAAGAATTAAATTAATTTTTTTAATGAACTCCAAAAGTATTTTTTAGAAAATTTAGTAATTCATTGTTAATTTTATTTTTCAAGGATTAACATATTTAATAGATCAAATTATAAGGGCTTGATTGGAATAAAATAATGAGACTTTTGCAAATTTAGCCCATATCATGAGACCAAATAAAAATAATAGCCCAACCTTTTTAAAATTTAAATAATGACCTTTTAATATTTATTTAAAATTTAATTGACAAAACTGCTATTTTAAAATCCATAGCATTATAATTTTAAAAAAGCAGTTTAATTTAGCTTGCCAATTCACTAACTGCATACTTGTTAGTTCATTAACAAAACTTATGAACAATGTCTTTTACATACTAAATTTTAATAAGTTGTTAATTCTATAATTTAACTTGCCACTTCATTGTTATATATTTGTTAATTCGCTAACAAAACTTGTTAATAAAGTCATCAAAGAAAATAGTGTTAATAAGTTTAACTAGTGAATTAATAAATGCACATAATGAAAATGACAAGTTGAAGTTTTAATAATATCAAGTTTTGCCAATGAATTGATAAATGCACGTTAGTAAAATTACAAGTTACGTTAGGTTTAAACATTTCTACTTCATATTATAAAAAAGTCATTAAAATTGAATATGCAAAAGATACTGTCAACAAGTTCTTTTGCTTATAAATTGACAAGTATATATTAATAAATTAACAAATAAGTATTAATGAAATAATAAGTTTGTTTAAATTTGGTTTGAACACTTGGCTTGTGTTGGAGAATTAAATGAAAAATTTGCCTTTAAACTATACTCTTTTGATCTTATTTATAAGGTAGAGAAAGAATAAAAAATTTGATTATATTTATAGGGTGCTTATTAATTTTCAATACTCCTTTTTATATTTTTGCATTTATTAAATACTTTGAATAAAAATATTAATGATTAGATTTAAGAATATTTATTAGGAGTAAAAGTGAAAACTTGTTAAACTTTAAGACAAAGTTAATAAAATTTAAAGTTTTTCTTAATTCTAATGAAACAGTGACTTATAAATAAAATTAAAAAAAGTAAATCTATGAGTATTTGAGATTCTAAATTTATTTTTTTATTTTTGTAATGTATCTTTTCAACTTTTGAAAATTATGGCTTTAACAAATGTTTACTTTGAGCATTAATTAACTAAAAAATTATAGACAATAATCCAAAAAATTGTAGAAAAGAACCAAGAAAATTTCTTTTCTATTAAATTGAGGTTATCATCTATAATTTTGGATCATTTTTTGGTTATTTTTTTATAATTTTTGAGGTACTTTTTTTGAATTGTTTGACAAATTAATATTTAAAGTTAATTTTTATTAATGATAACAGCGACATTGCATCATTCTTAAAAATTAAAAGAAAACATTACACTAAAAATAAGTTAAACATTCTAGATGTTTGGATACATAGTTTAAGGGTGAAATTGCTATTTCTTAATCTATGTCATACATAAAATTTTGCATTACATTATTAAGAGGTATATAACTAATTCTATTTATAAGTCATTTTTAATATGTTTCACTGTAATAAAAAAATTTAAAACTCATTAATTTTGTTTTAAAATTTAATAAATTTTTAACTTTATCCTTATTAAATATATACTTACTATAATAATATATTTTTTTCTCTCTATCATTAAATGGAGTGTAAAAAGAGAAATTTGTATTAAAAATTTAATGAGATGACTAGCAAAGAGGATAAAAAAAATATTATATATCTTCCTACTTTATAAATAAAATTAAATGAAATATCATTGGCTTAGTGGTTATTATGTTTTTTTCCCCTATTTTTTGAAACTTCAAACCGTACATCATCAAATAATTATTCTGCCGGTCGAAGCCTAACCACGATGGATGTGAGACTTTAAAAAAAAAAAAAATTGATTGAAGAGCATTTTGATTACTTTTTTAAAAGGGAAAGTTACAAATAATTCCTGTAAAAAAATTTATTTATAAATAAATTTTATAAAATTTAAAAATTACAGTTAATTTTTTAGAATTTAAGTATAATTTAAAATTATAAAGATAATAATATCCCTATTAAACATACATTACATTAATTAAATAATTAATTTATAACTATTTTATCAATAATTTAAAAATATAATTTTAATTTTTTACAACTATAATTTTATAAATTCAATAATTAAATAATCATGTGTTACTAACAAAATTTAACATTAATTATTTATAACTACTTCATTAATAATTTACAACTATGATTTTAACTTTTTACAACTGTAATTTCACATATTTAATTATATGTGAAATTATAGTTGTAAAAAGTTGAAGTCATAGTTATAAATTATTGATGAAATAGTTGTAAATTATTTAATTGATGCAATGTATATATATTTAATAGGGGCATTGTTGTCTTTTTATATCAATTTTAAATTGAATATGTGAAGTTACAGTTATAAAAAATTGAAGTTATAATTGTAAATTATTAATAAAGTAGTTACAAATTATTTAATTGATATAATGTATATATATTTAATAAGGGCATCATTATCTTTTTATCTCAATTTTAAATGATACTTAGTTTTTGAGAATCTAGTTGTAATTTTTAAATTTCACCAATCTTACTTATAAATAAGTATCTACGAGACCTGTAGATAATTTTTTCATTTTAAAGCATAATTTCAATTTGATCTTGGAGATTAATTTCATAATTTTTTGTTTTTGATTTGAAATAAATGTTGTATTGTGATTCTATGATAAAATTCTCCCTTAATTTTATCCGTTAAAAAACATTTTCTCTTAATTTTATCTCATATGCTAATCGAATCATCATTTTCTTACAAGTCGCCTGCTTTGAGCTTGGTGATGGTAAAAGATGGAGTATATTCTTAATCTCTGTCATCATATAAGGTGCGAGTTTTCTAAATCCCCTCCGATGGAAGAGGCTAATTTTCCTCCCATCTTGCCGGGTCGCCAGCAGAGAGAAAATAGAAAATGAAAATGAAGTCCGTGAAAGACACAAAATCAAGCCACATCATATCTGATAGTCTGAACGTTCCCAGTTCCAGACTGAAAAGAGCCACCAACATTCATTGCCTCTATATATTATTTGGCATTTACCTTCCCCTTCAATCTCCTCCCGCTAATCTCGCCTCTTCTCTTCCCTTTCGCTCTCATTACTGCTACACTATACGATTCATATACAGTCCTTTCTCTCTCTGGTACGCGTTTCTTTCTCTTTCCCAGCTGGTCTTCACTGTCACTCCAACTACGGCAATGTCTGTTATCCACTTCGTCGTCTTCTTGTTCCTCATCTTCTTCTCCACCGCCTCCTCTGCTCCTATTCAACCCTACCCTTATGGTAAGCTCTCAACTCTTCTCTGTCTCTGTGTGTTTCTCTTATCCAGTTGATTAGCTTCTGTAGGTCTAATGGTGGTGCTTCTACCTCCTGTCTGTTACTCACAGGTTTAGCTTACCGCATCGACTGTGGTAGTGCCACTAATACCACTGACCCATTTAACACCACCTGGCTGTCCGACCGATTCTACACCGGAGGCGCCACCTCCATAGTTTCCGAGCCACTTCACTTCCACTACTCCTACGAGAAGACTCTTCGCTTCTTCCCTGTCTCCTACGGCAAGAAGAATTGCTATGTTGTCCCCTCTCTACCCAACGGTCGCTACTTGTTTCGCACATTTGTCGTTTATGACAATTACGATGGCAAGTCTCACCCCCCGTCCTTCGACATCTCCGTTGAGGGCACCGTTGTCTTCAGTTGGCGATCGCCGTGGCCGGAATCTTTAGCTCGTGACGGCGCCTACTCCGATCTCTTTGCGTACGTCAACGACGGCGAAGCTGACGTCTGCTTTTACAGCTTAGCGACTGATCCTCCGGTCATCTCCTCGCTTGAGCTCGTGCAGGTGGATTCGTCATCCTATGATTTGGCTGCTGCTGGAAATGACGTTATTCTCGTCAATTATGGAAGGTTATCTTGCGGGAGCGATTCATGGGGTCCTGGATTCAGCGACGACACTGACGTCTTCGGTCGGTCATGGCAATCCGATAAAGAGTTCCGATCAAATTCGGACGATTTCAGGACCATATCGACGAGGAACGCTATAAGTGGCGCTTCTGTAAAGCCCAATTACTTTCCTATGAAATTGTACCAGTCGGCGGTTACGGTGGATGGAGATGGTGCGTTGGAGTACAAATTGAATGTGGACGCGAAATTGGATTACCTGGTGTGGTTGCATTTTGCGGAAATTGATTCGAGCGTGAAGAAGGCAGGGGATCGGGTTTTTGATGTGTTCGTCAATGACAAGAATGTGACTAGGATTGACATATACAAGCAGGTGGGAAGTTTTGCTGCATATGGTTGGCATTACACAGTGAAGAATTTAAGCAGTAGTGTCTTGAGTGTGAAGCTTGTAGCAGCTAAGGGTGCCCCACTCATTAGCGGGCTTGAAAATTATGCCCTGGTACCTAACGATCCTTCCACTGTCCCTGAACAAGGTGCGTTAAAGGAATTTAGAGGCATCTAGTCCCTGAGTTCCTGGAGATTTTAGCAGCATATTCTCAGAAAGGAAACTTATTTTTTGTTTTCCTTCTGTTGGAATCTGTAAAATTGTTTGTAGTGATTGCTACTTCGATGAAAAAATAATTAGGAAGAAAAATTGACATAGTTCACCTTTTTTAGTAACAATAATTACTGTTGATGCTGACACTGGGAAAGGAGGGGCACGGTTAAGATTTTGATGACTGAGGACCAAACCTAAAGTTCTATGGTAGCTGGTTTATTATTGACTAGGAACTTTAACTTGTTTTGTAGTAATTGCCATGAAAGCATTGAAAGAGTCACTTCGCATTCCTGATAGAATGGGTTGGAATGGCGACCCTTGTGCTCCAACTAATTGGGATGCTTGGGAGGGAGTAACATGCCGCATGAACAAGAATAAAACTGCCCTCATGATAAGTCAAATGTAAGCATTTCTTCCACTTATGTTTAGCCGTTTATCCAGGCTTTTGACTGGCTTTGAGATAAAATTTGATGCTGCACATAAAATACAAGGATACATACTGATAGTGATCAGCCAAAAAGAAAAATAAATAAATAAAAGGATTCCAACAATATTGGGCCTGTTTGGCAACTTGTTCTGGGAAGAGTTTTTTGTTCTCTAGAACAAAAGAACAAAAAAATTTGTTTGGTAATGTGTTTTTAAAAAGTGTTTTAGAGAACAAAAAAATGAAAACAACTTTTAGGTTTGCTCGGATTATTGTTTTGGAGAATAAGGAAAAAAATGAGAAAAACACCTTTTTTCATTATTTTTTTATTCTTAGAACATATTTTACAAAATATCAGTTTTCAGGACAATAAAATAAAAACAATTTCAAATAGCCCCATCGTCTTTCAGTAAATGGATCATCATACTTTGTGTGCGAGTTAGCTCCATGTGAAGATACATAGATGATGGGTCATGAGTATTTCTAAGTGTGCCTGGTATCTAATTGCAGTATAAGTTTTCTAGGAAAGTTCTTTTTCTTTTTCTTTTTAACACTATATTTTCCTTATAAGCATGCAAGTAGTTTATAGAAGATGAACAGGCAAATAATCACTTTTCTGCCTGTGAGCACTGGACCTGTTAGTGAACCACACATTTGGTTTTTTTGTTTTTTTCCAAAAGAGAAGAATTGAGGAAGTTATTACCTTTTCTTCTTTTGATTACACTTCCTTTCCCTTTTCTACATCTTTGATCAAATCTATGTTTCAATTTTTTAATTTCAGAGATCTAGGCAGTCAAGGCTTAAAAGGGTACATAAGTGAGCAGATTGGTCTTTTGGCAAACTTGGTAAGCCTGTAAGTATCAGCTGCCAATATTTATATGTATGTTAGACATCTTTAACGTCAAATTCATTATATAGGTTGAGCTTACCATTATAGTGCTTTGAAGTAGAAAAGTAGGCTTACCTATGATACTTTCTTCCTCCATATCATGCCTTGTGATTGAAATGTAGCCTTGGAAACATGGGCATTGTCATGGACACAGGACCTTACACTGACACGAACACTGACACAGCAAATTTTGAAGGGCAAGTCTCATGCCACATTAAATTTTGAAGTGATGAGTATGTGCTTAGCGTTGGTTTTAACTATTTTGGTCCTCAACATTTTCATTAGAATTCCTCCCCAAATGTTGCATGAGCCTCAATTTTATATGCGCTACAATGCTACATGATAATCATGTATAATAAAGCACTTTTTTTTAATATGCATGTTGGCTGAATTATAGTTCCAAATCTTCTGTGGCAGATCATCATTCATGTACAGACGCACCCACACACACATCCAGCATTCAATTTTCTAACCAAACTTTAGTCATTTTCATTTTGGTCTCAATTATCCAGTAACTTTGTTTACTTTAAAATTACAGAAACCTGAGTTCTAATTCTTTGGAGGGTGAAATTCCTTCTGGGCTTGGTCAAAATTCTCTAACAAATCTGTAAGTTTCTGATATCTATTCTGTCTGATATGGTCGTTCTTCTAACAGTTCCTATTTTTGTTTTAATTTTTATTGAGAAATCCTTTGAATAATTCAATTGAGTGGAGTACCATCTTCCTTTGATTATTAAATGATAAGTTCTAAAGTTTTTTCACCTCATAGAAGGTCATGTTCTTTTGTATGCTAACTTCGTAATAATATATTAAGAGTCTATGTTTTACTTGCCCTATTATTTGGCAACATCAATGCATTTCTAGGGTCTTGTCCAACGTAGTCATCTGATCCATATGGAAAACAGTGCAGCCTTGTTATTTGTTCAATGTTTGATCAGGTTTTGTATTTAATTATCCTGTAGGGATTTATCCAACAATCAGTTAACAGGGTCCATACCAGATAGCTTAGCATCTTCAAGTTTGCAGCTTGTGTAAGTATTTGTTGCTTCAGTATCATGTTTAACACTTTAATGAGGTTTATTTCATGATTAGCATCAAGTTTTGAAAGGAGATGTAGTTTTTGTTTGTCTTAGCTTGGCAAACTATTAAGTCAACTGATATCCCAAATTGTTGCTGTCCATACCATTTCCCGTATCTAGTGCTCTTATCTCATGGGTTACTAATATCTCAATTCTCAGTACTTTCTTTTCCTCTTCTATATTTCCTGTCAAAGTCAATTTTTGCTGTTGCTTAAAAAAGAAAAAAAAAGCCATTTGAAGTCCTTATATCAGTGTCAATATTTCTATACGAATGGTGCATTACAACTGGTCCATACTCATTGACAGTCATAGTGCACTTAGTTCATTTATCATATTACTTTTACAAATATTAAAATTGCACTTTCTTTGGTTTGGTTACTGGATAATACAAGTTGTGCTTTAACCATTGCAATTGTATATATCACTTAACATGCACTGTAGTCTAGTCTTACATGGAATTCCTTGTATTCTCCAGAGAAGTTTCGCTTACTACTCCACTTTATCTTGCCAGGCTATTAAATGGTAACTTATTGGAAGGACGAGTGCCAGAGCAACTCTATTCAGTTGGTGTGCATGGTGGAGCTATTGAGTATGTCTCTTTTATCCACTAGCTATAACCTATCAGCTTTTGCAGACTGAAGTGAATTTGATGATTCATGAAACTGATCCCACATCATGATTAACATTCTCTAACAAACTGACTCCATTGTTCCCATCCCAAACAATGCTATCTGTGCAATATATTATCTTTTACTTAGAAACATGTTGATGAACTGGTGTAAATCAGATGATAATCTATTGCTATCTCTGCAATATTCTGTCTGATTTCATGGATGGTTGTAATTGCTGTCCACTTGATCAACATTAGTTGCCATTTGCTTGCTGGCAATGCAATAGGATTATAAGTCACATATCACCAGAGCATCATTTGCAACTGTTCATTTATGAAAGTTCAGTTAATTTCTTGTTATTATAACCCGCTGAGAAATAATATATTTTCCACTTTTATTTGATTTGCTTGCATTCAGTCTCTCTGGCAACAAAGGTTTGTGTGGCGTTCCTTCTTTGCCAGCATGTCCAATATTTTGGGAGAATGGCAGACTATCTTCTCGGGGTAAAATTGCCATAGGCTTGTCATGTCTTCTTGTTTTGTGTCTGATATTGCTGCTTGTATGTATCTACATCAGGAAGAGAAGAAATGATTATGACTTTGGTCTACCACATGAACTGATGTGTAAGTATGATGTCACTGAGCTTCAGCTTCTGGAAAACGTTGTAAAACGTTGTTCATATTCTATATTCCTGCTACTGCGTATCATCTTTTAGTTTTTTGGGGCTGGCCGCAGTATTCATTTTGTTGGCTTTTACTCATGTAGTAGCTGCTTTTATGTTACTGCTTATATTGCACGGACCACACACCCACAATGAGCTCCACTTTTTGTCATTGTTTATTTTAAATCTTTGCTGGTGTGCATCATCTGGTATTTTATTCCATCTTCACCATATGCTAATACATCCTTTTCATTCTCTCTAATCTCTGTTTCTTCATGTCCAATATATGTTGAAGGTGGTAGAATAACTGTTTGCATACGTGCACTCTCTCAGCCGTGTGCACGCTGACATTTTACTGTAACTCATCTATTCATGAATATTTACTATTATGACTTTCCTTTTGCCCAGGATTTTAACAGTAATAACCCTAATATATTTATTGCATGTTGCCAACCTAATGGTGCTTTGTGAGCACAGTCAAGCTAAACCGAGATTTGTTTAAACTGTGTTTACGTTTGGACACAAGTTTTTTTTTTTTTTTTGGCCAAAAAGTTTGGACATAGTTGATCCTATCATTTCTTTTTTTGATTTTTTCTGTGTGAATCTTTTCATCTTTTACTGAGCTCATACGCACCCAGCTTATGATACCTTACATGATTAATAGTAAAGATGCTATTAGTATTTATTTTCTGCTAGTGAAGTAAAACATCACGTCAATTTGATTAGTTCACTACAATATTGTTAAAATTCTGCAATGATGCTTATCTTTTCTGGGCAGCTGTGAGTGCTGTGGTGCATAACTAGTTTTACAATTTTTTTCTGGTTCTGCAAATGACTCAATTTTTGTCTCTTAAAGTTGGTAAATCGTCAGACGAGGCAGCAATTTAGGATCAATTTTTTTGGTGTGGCTTTTAACATAAATGGTGGATTCAGTCTCACTTGCACTTCCCACGAATATTTTGTTGTATCATGCCCCGTGAAAAGTGATGAATTTTTCATGTGATGCTTTATTATGCTTGAAGATGCTTAGAGGTCTTGATTTTAAAGGAATATTGAGATGTTTAAACTTTACATTCTCTTCTAACGTTGTGTATGTTGTTTGTTTGTGGCTTCATTTTTGCAGCTTTAGCTGCCAAGAGAAATCGATATCAGAGGCAGAAATCCTTGATGGTCCTTGAGATGGAGAGTCAACATGCCAAGGGATTACATCCATTTTCTCCTCCACAATGATCAAATTTTGCTGGAAATGGAAGATTGATTTTTAGTTTTTGGCTACATCATACACCGACACAGCTTATTGAAAAGAATTCAATGTTACGACAATAATACCCAGCTCTGATGTGCCAACACTCCCCCTGTAAAAAGTTGCCTTATGGTGTTGGTTTTTCTCCCTCAACTTCATCTCGTCAAAAGGATTCTGGAAGCCACCACTCATTGGCAGGTTTTGATGAATTCATGATAGGGGAAACTCTTAAAATGTATGTAATTTGGTCCGCACTTAGTGTTCAGATTTTCTGGGTATACATCAGATCTGTTGACTCTTGACACTGTATACTGATTTATGCAGCCAAACTGCTGAGGGGGCATAGTTGTACAATGAAAATTTAGGAAAGATTTTTCATAGGTTTGTAATAGAAATTTTCTATACTTTCTTTTTGGTTTTTTTTTTTAACTGAAAATTATAATTCCACAACTCCTGGTAATTCTTTGTTGACTTGAAACTTTCCTCAGTTAGTGAGTTTACTGTGTGGCAGAATAAAGTCAGAAAAGATGATCCCATATTGATGGACTTGGAAAATTTTGGTTTGCATGATTGATCAAAGATTCGAAGTGATCACAGTTGAAGAAGACCCTTTTTGAGTAGTTTGATTCTTTCTTCCTTTTGATGTGTCTGGAAGGTGCACGACAAACTCATTATATGTTCATCTTCTCCTAATGAATTTATTTGCAATAAATGCTCATCTTTATTCTACTGTTGCCTGTTTGACTACTCTCAAGGATTTGATTGCATAACTATGAATCTACTTGTAAGTCCTATAATTGATCAATTGTATACAGTTCATTCTTTTAAAAAGTTCATACACAAAATGAAAACATGACAGCACTAATCATGACCTTGTTTAGACTATTAACGCCATGTGTAAGTCCTATAATTGATCAGTTGTACACGGTTCATTCTTTTAAAAGGTTTATACACAAAATGAAAACATGACAACACTAATCATAACCTTGTTTAGATTATTAACGCCATACATTATTATTTTCCTTCTCATATGATTAGAACTAGAGGAAAAAAAAATGTAATAATTGACCAAATTACCATTCACTAGGATTTCAATAAATCATTTAACAATTAGATTTTTTTTTATTGTCCGTAAATGTTCTTTATTATTGTTAATCTTATTCGAGGCACAATCAACTATTAAATTTTGGTATATTTTTCAATGGATATTCAAACTTTAATTCATTATGTGAGCAAATGGTTTTATCTGCAAGATTCAACTCTCATTGGTTAAAAACCATTAAATTTAACACAACTAGGAATTTAAAGAGCTGGCGAAACATAATAAAAGGAAGACATTTAATCATCCTTCAAGTCAATTATCTCATTCAAGTCATCCTTTAGCCTTTCAGATCCGTCTTTGTTGGGGGACAGACAGACAGTCACAGAGAGAGAGAGAGAGAGAGAGAGAGAGAGAGGCATATTGACATGGTCAGATTTATTTAACAGATATTAATAGCTTTAGCAGTGCAGAGTTTACCCTAAAACCTAGAAACGTGTGGAATACTTTCATCTCCCAGGGTCACATAACAAAAAAATCTGAATCAGAAGAGAGTTTTTGACTTGGACCAATATGAATGAACAGCCACAGAACACCATGCAACTTGGTCATTTATTTTTTATTATTATTATTATTAAAAGTTGCAAATGACTCCCGCAGTATCCTCACAAGTTTCATTTGCATGCAACCAGAGTGTATGACTTTTGAGACGCAACCAGGTCATTATTTATTGTCCTTACTCTCAAACATTTAATCTTCCTAGCCTTGATTTGACTCAGATATACACATCTAAAACTATCATTTTCATCAGGAAAAAATTTCCCACAAATTTTTTAGTCTTCCATATAAAGTTCTCTTTTACTTTTCCAAGAGGAGATTTAATTTGAGCCATTTAAAATTTATCCCCATTTTTATTTTTATTTTTTTAATTTTAAAATAAATGAAACATTAAATAAATGGTTTATTTGTTTGTTGACTTTGATTTCAATCTGCCAGCACCATTTGTGAAGCCTAATCCCATCTTAATATTTATCAAAAGTTTGTCAATAAGCTCATGCTTGTACATAGAATTTTGTGTTGGGTTAAGAGTTGATTATACTATTTCTCTAAACTATGAGCTGGCTTAATTGTGTGACACGCCTGTAATACTACAAGTTAATTATATTATTGATGATTATTGATGTTAGGTGCAATTATATGTTGGTCAAAAAAATGGTGCAACTGTATGATATAGATATATCAATTTACCAAGCATTAGGGCATTTAGCATACGATTTTAAATAAAACATAATCCAAAATTAGTAAGCAGAGAGATGAGAAAATTTTGAAGTCATATAATATGCATAAATATCTTTTTTGGATGGTAGGTTTATTGAGATAATTACTCCATCCGTCGCAGTTTATGACACAATTTTAAACCAAATTATACATAATAATAATAAATTGTTAAATACATTTTACAATTTTATTTTTTAAAAAACACAAATATAAATTTTTAAAGATATCTTTCATTTAATAAACATAAAGAGAGAGAATATAATAAGAAATAAAAGATGATATTAGAAGAGTATGTTTAATGAAATTTTATTTTTACCAAATTATTTTATATTTTGAAATACTAAATAACCCATAAAATTACAGAGGAAGTAGTAGTTAGGACTTAGGCATTGATGCATATCTAAGCTAAGCCAAAATCTATGCAATTTCACGCTTGCAAGTTGCCAATTAATTAATTAATATAATCAAATAATATCTTCCTTTTGACATAATTTCATGAGCATAACTGTGTTTGAGGACGACAGAACTATATATATATATATATATTAAATAATCTTTTTGTTCACATTTCACATATTAAATATAATAAATATCTTAATTTATATATTAAGATTTGTTTTTCAGAGAGAGAAAGAGAGAGAGAGGTTCCCTTAGAAGGGCATGACCTAGATGCTTAAGTTGTTGTAGAAATTTCTTTCTTTGTTTTTTTTTTTTTGGAAAAATTGGAAATCTAAGAAACAATTATATACTTTTATGTGGTTATGAGGTGTCCACATATGTGTCTTTGAAGCATGTGATGGAATGGCACCACAACTTCGAATAATGATCCAGATGGTTAAATTATTTAAGTCAGACTGATTGATTAAACAAACAATTTTTTGTCAATGAAATGAAATGTTTATTAGTATATTCCATATCAAGCTGGCTTATTCTTTTAATTAATTAATTAATTGTTAATGGTTGATTTGCATGAAAAATTACATCTTTTTTCCACACTCAACTGTTTGAGTAAGCATGTGGTCTTGAAATTAAAAAGAAGAATACTAAGGGCCTGTGTCGTTTATGTTCCAATCTTTTGTTTTAAATAAATATTTTATAATTCAATTTTTATAATTATTTTTCAAAATAAAATAAAATAAAAATCTACTTAGTTATGTTAATTTTAAAAATTTTTTAGAATTAAAAATAGACTAACAATAATGGTTGCATACGGTTGATAATGATGATTTATAAAAAAATTATTTAATCTACTATAATTTTTAATAATTAAATATAGTATATTTTAAAAGTAAGAAAATAAAATGAAAACAACCTGCCCAATTTTTTTTATTTTTAAAAATAAAAAACAGTTAAACAAAAACAGGCCCTAAAGTCCTCATTTAATAATTTTGTTCGAGGTAATCAAAGAAATAGGAATATGGATGACACTTTTTGCATCCTTCTATCTTTTTTCCAACATTCTAGATAACTTAGATATAAATCAATTTCAAGCATTGAAATTTGTATAAGACACAACATGTTTCAATATCATTAATTAATTTCCAAAAAATACACTTTTAATCCTATAATTTTATACAATATTTCAGTTTAATTCCTTAAATTTAGAAAAATATTTTTTCAATCATTGAATTATTTATGCCATTAATTTCATTATGAGAAAAATTTTAATATTATAATTTTAAATGAAAAAATTTAAAATAATGATCTTTCCATCCGATCATTTTTATTTTTAGAAATTAAATTTAATATATCAGTTATTGAAAGAGACACTTTATGAAATTTAAAAAAAAAAAATTGTGTAACGTTAGGGATAAAAACGCAATTTTCGCGTACTTTAAATTGTGGTTGTGCTTAAGAAATACGCAAAAGGACAAAGCCATTGACTTGGTTGACCTCGTTATCGGTGCCTACCAGAAGTCGCCTTCAATTTATGTCTCCAATTTCTTTCCTTAAAGGCTAAAGCTATTTCAATCTCACCCATATAATTATTGCCTCAGTTTTTTTTTTTTTTTTGAGTTTATACAAATCATTAGTCATCGATATATATATATATATATATATATCTATATATATTTAATTGTTGGCCCGTGCTATATGATATTCATAATTTAAACAAGACATGACTTTATGAATTTTATATGATATTTAAATAAATGTAAACATATGGAGAATCAGCCTTAGTTGGTAAAATTACGAGATATAAGTATTTACTTAGTCATTTATACCATGAATGAAATTCAAAATCAATATTTGATGACCTAAAGGATGAGTATTATGTTTATTAATTATGGTTTTTTTTATTAAAAATAATTTTATTTAATATACAATCGAGTACTCCCTTCATTCAAAAATGTAAGGTATTTTTTGAGGAGTTAGACGTTAAAAAATATAAAGTATTTTTAGTCTTTTAATGTGTACCTATTGTCTTTTTTTTTTTAGTTTTTCTATTAATAATGACTTTATATTTATTGTAAGGTGTTTAATAGGGATAAATATAAAAAATTAAGATTGGTTAAAAAGTAGATAATACTTTATAGAAGATGATATTTAATTAAAAATATTTTATATTTTTTAACAAATAAAGTATAAAATTAAATAATCACTCTATTATAAAATTAAAATCATTAAATTTAAATTGACTCTAACATTTCACATTATTTAAATATCATGCTTTTATTGGATGAATATGAATGATGTAATGCAACTAGTTCATTTAAGAATTTCTCAATTAATTACCTTATTGAGAATATAAATTAATTAAAAGTATTAAAGAAAAGAACTATGAATATGGTGTGTTAGTGTTTGAGTTCCTTTTATAGATAAGGATGAGGAAAAAAAAAAAAAGAAAAGGATCAAAATACAAATTAACTGGTCGTTGAAAAAAGGAGAGAAGATGGCATTATTAGTGTGTGAGGGAAACAGTTATCTGGTGGTAATCTATAATGGTGGCCAGCTAATGCACCGTCCACTTGGCACAAATTTTATTGCTCAATGTGATGTGATGTGATCACATCCGTTTATGCGTGCCATGTCGGCAACATAACTTCAGGGTCTCCGTCCATTTTCCTGGTCCCACTTGGATTTTTCCCCTTTTGTGACACTCCCACCTCACTCTTCGCCAAACTAATCCTCAAACAGTTTAAATTTATTTATTTTATAAAATATTATAAAACCAAAGGAGTGGAGGTGAGAAAAGAGGAATAAAATGAGAAAAAGAGTTGGGGAGAAAATTCAAATCTCTCGAGAAGCCTTTTGCATTAATCTATTTTCATTTATTTGGTGAAACTAAAATTTGATATAGCTTATAGTTTTATTAATTTATTATGTTATCAGTAAGAAATAAAGTTAAACTATATTTAGAAAAGATAGATTTTATTGATAAGCAGTGTATACCTCCCCCGGTCTTTAAAAT